AATGCAACATGAGTGGTATTCTTCTTGAGAGCCCCAATAGTAAACATAGTTTAACCAACAGGGGAGCAATCAGTTCTTAGAAACCAACCTATGAAAATCATTCATATAACCTCTGTAAAGTGTAAGATAGCCAATATCCCATAACTGGAATATCATGGCTACTTATATCTCAAAGAAGTGTTCAGGCAATGCCTGTAAAACCATAGGCTAGCAAACCAAATGTTAATCCAATGCTTTTATTGTTCACAATTTAACTTCACCGTATTGAACGTCTGATTAGTTATGGCCATAATTCAGGAAATAAACAATGATGTGGAAAACCCCAAAAGCAATAAAAATGAAGGACACCCTCTGATAAAAACACACAGAAATAACATTAGTGATGTCATGCAATTTCTGAGATACCATAGAAAAATTGTTTCTTAATATTGATAAGAAAATTATGCATTGGTGAAAATGCAGGTTTAGAAATATAGTACTGAGAGTTTCAATTTGTAATGTCTTCACTGATGAGGGAAAATGGAATTCTTACTACTTAAGAGAGCTGATCTCTTGGGTGTTGCTGATGGCTCCCTAACTGAGCTTAGTGTTTAATGATGCTGTACAAATAAAAAGCAGTGGGGAAATACGAAATCTTTATTAAATGCCATCCTGTAAAGTATCTGATGGATGGAAGAGAGTCTAATGCATTTTAAATAAATGCATATCATACTATCACATATAGTGAGTCTTAAAAAATTATTACTTAGATGCACAGTCCTTGTAGTGGTAGACATGGCACTGTGAAGGAAGTTGGATTTAGAAGCTATTCTCTATTATATTTGTCAAGTGATGGAGTTGCTGTTAGTCATATTGTAATGTCCCTTCGACTTTGGTACATTCAGTGCAAAATATTTCAGGGAATTTTTTTGTACCTTTATAAAAATAAAAGGCCCTTTTGTTCCCTTGAGAGTACTTAAAAGGATACATACTAGCATGATGCCCAAGTAAGCATGGAACATGAAAATGGAACAGGTGACATGTACAGTAAGATAGGTAGGTTCTTATATACATCTTAACATAAATATAATGAACCTATAAAAAATAAACAGAACTCACTGTGTAATTTTTCCTGATATTCTGTGATTAATTGCTAGTTATTTAAAATTGTTTTCATGCATTATAAAGCATAAAATCTGTCATTAGTAATTCATTGTATAACAGTTTCTCTTTAGCCATAATTACATACATACCACTTTGCATATACATTATCATCGTCTACCTTTTGCAAATCTTTAAAGTTACCTCATATTGACTTGGTTTCATTTTTCACTCATGTCCCATGAAAGCTGAAACTTATGGTGCACACCATGCAAGCACCCATAAGCTAGAAAAATGAACATTCTGTTATAGCTTAGGGCTTAAATAAATGTACTTTCAGGAAATATATTTGTTTTTATTATATTATTCAACTTGCATTAATTTGGAGATTGGGTCAAGTGCTGCTAGTTTGGCTTGAACCACATTCAAAGGTAAGTTTCAAGATTCTCCTGAGTCTCTGAAAGTTACCGTGCAGCTGATCTTGTACAGATTCATCTTTGTCTTGGAATATAACAAATGGAAAAAAGTTTGGCAGTCAAGAACTGTTGATTGAAAGACTGTTGGGTTGTTCCCTGGGCATCAAGCTCACCCAAATCCTTCAAAGAGGACTCATCACCACTATCCAGTCCCCAAATGTGGCAGAGCATGTGCTCCTGGAAGATAACAGCACTCAGTTTTACTCTAATGGAAGCATATTCTTGAAATTTCCCATGTTCAGCCATTCTAGAGGGCAGCTTCTGAAATTGCCTGTCCATATGGAGTCAAGCATTGTGCTTCCAGGTCATTCAAGTCCAAAGGTACTGGTCTCTTCAACTGCTGTCAAGAGTTTTTCATAAAGCATGGAGAAGGATGGGTAGGGGGGGAGATCCAGACGGTTAAAACAAGTGTGAGCTCTGCAAACAGAAGAAGCATATATGGTTTAGAATGCTTAAAGTGAAATAAGATTTTGTGTGTGTGTGTGCATGCTTCTCTTTTATATTCAATTTGGTTTTTGCCAATTTTCACACTCCTTTGAAAATATTTTGACTTAAAAATTTAGAATTGAATTTCATTCTCTTAGGGAAATGGGACATTTAAAAATTTATTTTCTTTACATTTTTACAACCATTTAAAATCCATTTTAGGCACATAATACTATTTGTTCAGTTGTCTAAGAATTACAAAGACAAGGGTTTTTTTCTCTTTTGATGTTACTTTTTTTTTTTTAAAGAAATGAATATAAGCCCTTGTGAAGCAATTCATTTTCAGAGTTGGCATTTGCCTGGATGTCTCTCAGAGAATCCACGGTTTTGCATTTTTTCATTTTGTTGGACGGGGAAGAGTAGTAAGTATCTCTGAAGACCTGCCTCATGGCGTAGTGTCTTGGGAAATTCCCTGGCTGGACTTTCCTGTTGAAGTCAGTACGCCATTGTTAACTTCTTTGAATCCTGTGCTATAATCTGTTTTCTCGTAAATCACAATGCAAAATAATGGCCATTTAAATAATTACATTAAGTTTTTTTTTTTTTTCAAAAATACCTCCCCTTATGCCAAGATAGGGGAAAAAAATATGCTTTCCTGTCATTTGCACCTGAATCACAATAAAAAATAGTCTTCGAATAGTGCATCTTATCAGGAAGCAAATCTGCACTTTGACATGGAATAGGAAGCATTTCATTCTGAATGCACAACAGCTTGTTTGTGGGAGCTAAACAATTCTGACTAAAAAATTGTTCCTGAATTCATATAGAATTTTAGAAGCTATGATTATTAATAAGCTATTTTTATAAAGTCACGTTTCAGTTTTTGTTCTTATAAATCACTTTAATACTTATGAAATAAATATAATTATATTCCTAGATATAGTGCAGTACAGTGGGATCAGAAGTTTAAAGTTGAACAGACCTGGGTTTGAATTCTAGCTCTCACAACCAGCTATATGATTTGGAGTGTTATTAAAACTTTCTGAGACTCAATTTTCTTACCAATAAAAAGAGACTAAAGTCAGTCATCTCAGGATACGAAGATTAAATGAAATGACAAAAACATGCTTAATACAATGCCTGGCTCATAGTGTTTGACCAACTAATAAGAGATGTATTGTTAGCTACATTTCATTACCATCGAAAAGATTTACTCTAACTGCCTTCATTAAATTGCCAAAAGATAATCATGATTCATGGAAATTATGAGATAACAAAGAGATAATAAGTCAGATGTGTGGCCACATGGCTTATTAGAAACAAGAATGTGAAGGGACTCTGTAATATATAAGAATATCAGTAGTACTGGCTCAGGATTTACGACTCGTTATTACAAACTCTAGGACATACTGAGGGGAAATCATCTAATTAACCATTGCTGCCAATCCCCCCCTTTTTTGATATAATAATCTATTTCAGAATGCATTTAATATAATTCTTATTATACCTTCTTTGCACTGGAACCTCAACTCGGGTCTCAAGGAAATCTTTTACTTTTAAAAAAATTGAACTAGCATACTAAAAGACAGTCCTAGGAATGGTTTAAAGTCTATCTTGTATGAAATAGTGGAATAAAAATATTAAATACAGACTTTATCTCTGTTCTAGGGAGAGGGGAGAAAGAAGCAGAGACATGAAATATGTTTTGAATATAATTATAAACTTTGTATGTTAGACATATAATATTAATTATACCATTTAGCTAAAAGAGGGTACTTCTTTTAAACAAAATTTTTAATTTTTTTCCTTTGGTTACTAACAAGGCTGAGCATCTTAAGTCAGCTTGCTTGTAGTATTTCCTGTTTTGTGATCTACATCTTTATCTTCTTTTAATTTTTTAATGTGATAAAATATACATCACATAAAACTTGTCACATTAACCATTTGTAAGTGCACAGTTCTGTAGCATTAAGTATATTCACATTGTTCTGCAACCATCACCACCACCCATCTCTAGAACTTTTCATTTGTCTAAACTAAAATTTTACCCATTGAACACACTCTTGTCCTCTTTTGCTCCTGCAATCATCATTTCATTTTCTGTCTCTATGATTTTGACTACTCTAGTTACTTCATGTAAGTAGAATCATACAATATTTGTCCTTTCGACTCACTTATTTCACTTAGCATAATGTTTTCCAGGTCTATGTTGTATCATGGGTCAGAATTTCCTTTCTTTTTAAGGCCAAATAATATTCCATTGTATGCATATATCACATTTTGTTATTCATCCATTGACAGACATTTGGGTTGTTTCCATCTTTTGGCTATAGTAAAAAATGCTATTCTTGAACACTAGTGAACAAATATCTGAATCCCTGCTTTCAATTCTTTTGTGTATATACCCAGAAGTGGAATTGCTAGATCATATGATAATTCTATTTTTAATTTTATAAGGAGCTGCCATACTGTTTTCCATAGTGGCAGCACCATGTTACATTCCCACCAGCAGTGCACAAGGGTTCCAATTTTTCTACATCCTCACCAACACTTTGTTTGTTTTGATAATAGTTATCTTAATGAGTGTGAAGTCCATTTATCACTTAAATCTTTAGGATTTCTTATTGATTTGTATAAATACTACAAAATAAAGAGATTAACTTGTTTTATTTCCTCCTGCTAATCTCTTTCAGCCTATTCGCTTTTTTTATTTAGTTAAGCATTTCATTTATAGAGTAATATTTAGTTGCTATCCATTTCTGATATATTGTCTCTCTTCAGTGTGTTGCTAAGATAAGAAACATCCTGAAAAGGCGATCTCTCTTGTTTATACCTAATAAAAGGTTTTTGTTGTCTATTATTTCCTTTTGTGCTGGTTAATCAAAGGGTGTGATAGATCAACTTTTGGGAGAACTCTTCTTCAAAGAGTAACTGGCTTTTATAGTTGTAATCTTGAGTAGATATATATGAATTCATTTTTGTGAATCAAATCATATTGGATGAACTAAGAAATAAAAAGAATTCAAATGACCCTTTCTCTAGGTAAGCAATAATCCCTAATGAATGTTTTATTTTTTTAGCACAGGACACTAGGATAGGTTAATGTGTTTGTCACACACTAGTTAGGCCTGTTCCTTCCCTCTTGAAAACCAAACACTTTCCCTTAACTTAAGCTTAATTTTAACTAACCAAGAATTAACAAAATGGCCACATATATGGGAATGAGAATTCATAAATAGCAATGTTTGAAGTCCCCAATTAACTGCTTGCACATACTTAGGTCAAATGTCGAATATTAATTCATGGTGGTCTTGTGGTAGGCAGAATTCTAAGATGATCTGCCATGACCCATGCCTTTGTATAATCCCCATCTTTTGAGTGTGAGTGGGACCTGTAACTCACTTCTAACCAACGGATTATGGCAAAAGTGAAGATACGTTGTAGATGTTATTAAAGTCCATAATCAGTTAATTTTAGGTTAATCAAAAGGATGATTATCCTGAGTGGGCCTGACCTAAGTAGATGAGACCATTAAAGGAACATATAGAGGTCAGAGACCCTCACTGCTGCTGAATCTGAAGAAGTAAGTGGCCATGAATTGCACAGCTGCAAGGAACGGATTCTGCCAATAACCTAAGGGAGCTTAGAAGTGGGTCCTTCTCTAGTTGAGCCTCCAGATGAGAATGCAGTCCAGCTGACGCTTTGATTTCAACCTTGTGAGATGCTTAGCAGAAGACCCAGCTAAGCCATGCCTGGACTCCAGATCCACAGAAACAGTGATATAACAATTATGTGTTGTCTTAAACTGCTAATTTTGTGGTAATTTATTATGCAGCAATAGAAAACTACTACGAGTCTCAAGGTAGTAAAACAGTCCAAGAAAAAGTGGCAAGTGTGATAAATGTGATGTAATAGAATCTCCCTTATCAAGGGCAAGTAGTGGGGCAAAGCTGGGCATAATCAGTTGTCCTATCATGTGCCCAGGTTTCTGAGCACAGAAACAAGAATTCTGCATGTCCCTTTGTGGACACTATTGTATCTTATCCGGTAAATCCATATGCCTGGTTCTCTCTTCTCTAAAGATTCAATTCTCAACACAAAGGGAAGGACTGGACAATCTTTTCTGATACTCCTCAGTTATGACATAATCACCATTCTTGATCCAGAGTCTAAGGCAATCACTGCTTCCTAATTTACATCTGGTTGCATAACATACATTACCATACTACAACTTTGCTTCTGAATAAACTGAACAGCTCCCCTAAAAAATGTTTCATGAGGATGGAGGGAGTATACAAAGTGGAGGGGGAAACTGTGCAGAAAGATTAAATGATTTTCCAAAGGTCAAAGCTGAATCAGTGGCCAAACTAAGAATAAAATCTCAATCTTGGGTTCCTAGGGGAAGTCCAATATTAAACCGAAAGCAGGGAGGCTATTGCTCTTCGGCTCTGTGCTTCCATTTCTAGAGGCCTGAATGTTAATTTCATCCCACCCCTGACTGCAAACTGCTAGTCCTCAAAATACTACCAAATTACATACATTTGAAGGACAGGGATTAGCAAAATAAAGCTTCACATGTTTTTTAATGAATGATTCAATTACAATATGCCATAGCTCTAGGGAATACGGTCCAAATTGGGTAAGTCCAGATAACCCTGGGAGATGCCAGGGGATTTTTAGGTGCTTAGTTCTACCTTGGGCTCACCAGAAAAAAAACATACTCAGAGAGATACATTAGAGTGTACTGGCACCACCCAAGAAGCCTGTTTACAATGAGATTTTTGGCTGTACCTCCTGAGTTTCTAATTCAGAAAGTTTGGGGTGGGCCTAAGGATCTGCATTTTAACAGTCACTCCAAGTGAGTCTGATGCAGGTGGTCTCCACTAGTGGAAAGACATCAAGTGAATTAGAAATAAGATACCTACATTGCCTATCCACACCAGCATTTTGTGCGCTTGCAAAAATTTCAAAACTTCTTATAAACAAGACAGCATTG